GGCAGAGAGGTCTTGGGGTTTAGGGTTTAGGGTTTAGGGTTTAGGAGGGAGCAGGTACCCAACTGTTCGGGTCTTCAGTCCAGAAAACAGTTGAGATTGTAGTATGTGGGACCTTAAACGCATGTTTTTGTACCTTTGGGCTTAGCCAGAAGTACAACAGCTGCACCTCACTGCATTTTCTGTGCTTTCTCATATGCCTGGAGATTGCAAGGACTGCAAACAGGCTAGCCTGCCAGTAACCTGGCCATCTCGACTATAAGATGCATTCGTTGTTTCAGATGTACAGTTTCTCTCAGGCTTCATCAGATCCTGAAAATTGTGCCAGTATGTGACATGTCCTTCCCATGCTCTTCACCGTGTAAGAAGGTTGGTAAGGCTTTTGTCGAACCATTTGCTCAAACAAACGTTCCCGAAGGGTCCATGTAAGGATATAGTATATACATACGGCCCAAGGGGTTTCCAGTATGAAGTGCTTGAGGGATTAAGCATATGCTAGATAGCTACATGGACCCTTGGGATGTCTGAAAGGATTGAGCATCACGGTTAAGGTCTAGGGCTAAACATTACGAGGATGCTCGGCCTGGTAAGTACTTGTTCTTAGGCCTATAACTATAGATGGGTCTTCAATGCCTAGATCAACTCTACAGCGTTTCCGTATGTAACCCCTACAGTACCCCTACATAACCCCTATATTACCTTCTACAACTCCTGTACCAGCCAAGTATCTGACAGGGGTCTCTAAACCTGCAGCCCAAACCGATGGGATCCATACTCCAGAGCCCCATAAGAGGAGGACTCATGTTTTGGCACGTGCGAGAAAACGCCTAGAATGACTGCATTCATGTCCCTCAGAGCTCTACGTCCTGTGGATTGTCCTTTACGGATTCTATAGCGTCGTGGGCATGATAGTTGTCTTTATTGGGTGATTTGGGAGTTTGTTGAGCTACAAGAGTCTTCCGAGACATGTGTGTACAAAGCCTAGACAATGGTCAAAGCTTTTATAATTAGACCCGCAACCCTTTTTCCAAACTTCCGACAAACAAGCGCTGCCACAAATCTAGGCCTTCCGCATCGTCCCCGCCGCAGACGATCACGCCTCGGCCAGCGTCGCCAATAGGCGGGCCTTGACCCAGGGCATGCAACACAAGCGACAAACCCTAGAATCCCTATTACTATAGTTTCCATTTTCTTTTCCAGTATAACCCAATATAACCCTAATATTACTCACTATAGCCACTAAATAACTCTAAGAGTCCGGCTGTACATCAACCCATGAGGCTGGTACCGGGTTATGGGCCTTGATCTGGCCTATTCCGGTGTCACTTGAATTCAGAAACAATACACCGAAGTCCCGGGACCCACACGTTGTTGGGGGCATTCTTGCAGGCCTGCCTGAGTTTCATGACAAGCGTATGGCAATTTTATGACAATGAGACGATCTTGGAAATCCTCAATACGTCTCAGTCCCAAACTTCCAAAGCCTCCATTCTCGATACAGCAAGTCTCACAGAAAATGGATTGTAGGTTTAAGCACCACCCTTCTACTGTTTTCCATGACGCTTTGTCCAAAGTGGTTCCCATTGTCCGGGCTTGGACGGACAGTGGTTTGGTTTACTGAAGCATGAGCACCTCCATAGCGTTGAGCAATGGAGCTCATTCCTTGCGTACGGCTTTCAAACTCCCATGCCCCTGAAAGCCCCCGATGAGCCCCACATCCACACCTCAACAGTCTGCAAGCCAAAGCAAAATCGAGCGCCTGCGCAAGGAGTGCCGTCGCCCACCGTGGTGCCTGCGCCGGCCATCATGCCGGTGCGGCCTGGGTTTTCTGGAGCTGGATCAGGCAGCTACTGAAGGGGCCCCTAAAGTCTGAGCTCGGGCGTAGCGTTTAGGGTTCAGAGAGAGACGTAGCATATGAATGTTCATGATATTGCATGAGTAGAGAGATACAGATTCTAAGAGAGACAGAGAGAGCGAGAGAGAGACACCGGGAGTCAGAAGAAGAGAGAGGGGAAGGGGGTAGGGTCTAAATTGTTTGGGATGAGGATTGAGGGTACAGTCACGCTGGGGATTCACGCGCCCAAGGTGTTTGTACTTTCCAAGGCTAGCGTACTTTCATTATTACAAGGAACACCACGAGTTTCCTTGTACTCAGGTTTTGTTGCACAGGTCTTCTTGCCAAGAGAAACAAGTGACGGAATACCGCGAAAACAAGTCTTGGAATAGCAAAATGAGTTTCGTTTTTTTTTTTTTTTT